ACTTCTCCAGCTTCTCATGCTTCTTTTTCCTGATGTTGCTGTCACCTGGCACCACTACATCTATCACCACTGCTGTCTTCTGGTCCTTGTCTACTAAGGCTGGATAGTGTAGTGGTTAGAGCACTGCCCTTTAATGTGGGAGATCAGGGTTTGAATCCCAATTGGTACCTACCTTACCAGTAGGGGTCCTTGGGCAAAGATCCCCTAACACTACACATGCCTACTCCGAATGTGAGAGTGACACGAACTAAGAGAATCATCCTGGCTCAGACACCGCCCAAATTACCAAGGTCCATGCCAGATGTTGGGGAACCAGGACAATCTGACGACAAGTGGGCTACTGGAATGAAATACATGGACGAAACAATATGTATGTATGTATGTATGTATGTATGTATGTATGTATGTATGTATGTAAGAAAAGTCTCATATGAATTATCCAGCCAGGAAGTGAGTAAATATCCAAGACTCTATAACAATGGGTATAAGGTTATTACAAATATGTCATAGAAATAAAGTTGTAAGACATATGAAGGAGGAGATAATTTATAAAACTGTATTTGTAAAATGTGAAGTTTCCTTGATAGGTGAAACAGGAAGACCCTGGGTAATTGGAAGGAACACCAAGCTGATGTCTTACATGTTAATCAAGAACATGTGCTGTAGTAACTTTTAAAAATCATTAAAACAACTGCATTGACTTTGATATTACCTGCATGGCATCATTAGCATATTATTAGCTCAGATGTAAAATGAAGTTCCTTAATATCTTTCTGCCTAAGAACATTAAAAAATACAAACTCATACAGTGCTCAACTATCTACGTTTTGTTTTTATGTACTGGTTACTTAGAAAGTGTCAAGTTCAAAGAAAGATACAAGCAATTCAATTAGTAATATTATAGGTTGAAGGTATATATAACTATTACTATCCTACTTTTCATCTGAGAACTAAATGTGTAAAAAATAATTCTCAAAGCACTTCTTAAGCAGTTGCTCAAAGCTAGAAAGATAATCAGGGCCACAGATGAGAACAAAGCAGTTTACATTTGTTTTGCATGAATAGACAGGTTGCAGTCCAAAGTCAGACTCTCTGGGGAGGCTTCATTGAACTGAATACAAGTGGCATGTGGGGAGCACAGCAGCAAAATGACTCAAGGAATAGAAAGAGGTGTTGCCAAAGTGGGGGAAAAAAAACCTTTTTACTTTTTAACTTATTTTAAATGATTATTTGAACTAATTAGCTCTTTTTGTCTTTTGTTTCTCTTATTTTATGCCAAAGTCATGCTGACATTAGTTTATTTTGTGTGTATGCTATATTACTCCTATAGTGAAATTAGTTCCTTGGTGGCTCATGCCTAGCAGGGAGAAACACACGTTTCACAAATTATCTTTAGTTCATATACACACACACACACACACACACACACACATATACAGAGAGAGAGGGAGGGAGGGAGAGTTTGCACTGATTATTTGTGTGAATTTTTTTTTCTTTACTCAAATATTTTTTAAAAGCTTCTTTGGAAGTCTAGTTTGCTTGCACCAGCAATTTATAGTGTCATTAAGCCATTGCAGAAGTGATACAATGCCTTCTAGTGATATAATGCTACAATGAAGGTTGGACGATGCTATAAATCCCTAATGTATCTGCTATTACTGTTACCGTAACAGCCTTAACTAAAGGCTAGATGCTAGAGATTTACAGGTTCTCAAAAAAAGAAAAAGCAATCTATATTTGTTTTGTAGATTTTGCTTCACAGATCCTTTATCTAGTTTGTGAAAAGTCAGACGGCCATAAAGTTTATACTGAGTATACTCAACATAAAAACTCAACATTCAAAAATAAGAACGAGGAAAGAGAATTCTTGATCACGAAACATTTCTCACCATCAAGCATTTAGTATTATCTGCCTCAAAAATATTTTTTAAAACCTGAATAAAAACAAATGCCACCAAATTATATGCTACTTAAAATTTTAGTTTATGCATAATTTTCACTGAATACAGCATAGTCACTATTTGTTTCAATCCTCAATGAACAGTCATTTCAGAGTTAACGTACTAGATTGGGCTAATTGATTTAATGGAATTAACTGGAGAAGCCTTTCCACATATATATAAGAGAAAAACTGAATCATAATTTTATCATTATCTAGACTAACAACTAGAATTAAGGGTCATGAAAATACCTTGAGGGGAAATTCAAACAATTCCTCCCTGTTATATCATCAACTGGGAAGGAAATGATAATAGTGATTGCCATTAATTTATAGGAGTAAATCAATTATTTGTCAAAAAATTCCTTTAAAAAAGGCAATACTGGAAATAAACATTTTCTACCTCTTAGCCACCAAGGATTCTTACAACTTTCTTGTTCACATAGTAAGCTGGAACCAGTAATTCTTCATGCATCCAATGAAAGTGCATTCATTGTCCTTTGAAAGTGTAAGGATGCTTGCTACTGATATCCACTGCTCTGATTACTTTTTAAGTCGGTGCTTATAACGCCTGATTCATACTGGCAGCCTGTAGCTTAGCATGTTAACTAAACTTGCTTCCTGCATGGTTCAGCACATTTTCATTATAAGCCCAAAGGGAAATTGCAATGGTATGACGAAACCCAGCTGAAGCTATAGGCACCTTACTGTGCGGTATGAAACATTATTAGCATTTAAATCTGAATCTGAATCTGCATTTTTGGGATAGCTCTCAGAGGTGTCCCTTATTGCTCTCAGGAATAATCTGTGGCATCTTCAGATTAGAGCCAGTCCATGAAATTCTAAATAAATAAATGTGAACCACTGTGTGTCTCCATTAACTGGAACCACCATGAAATGCTCTGGAAAGTTGTAGGAATACTGGCTAATGCGAATTGCGTTCAATGAGAAGAAAATGTTACTTAATTGCAAAAGAAAATATATTGGAGACATTTCCTGCTTTTCCAATAGATGTTATTTAGATTATATGGTATGCAGTTTTACCTTTTAAACTACATAAATTAACTTGCAATTCTTTAGTACAGGGGATATAATTTGTTCCTTAACAATAAAAACACGTACCTTTAGCAGCAGGAAATTATCTGTTTCATATTATATCTCACAGAGTTTTTAAATTAATTTGAATTGTACAGAAAAAGTTAGGGAGTACATTTTTAAATTTAAAATTATGGGGGAGGGGAGAGATGGGGAGGAGATATGGTTGGAAACTAGGGAAGGATCCCAATCCTTATTAGCATCCTGCACATTTCTTCTTCTTTAAAATAAATGTTTAAAAGTTTAAATACTTTTAAAAACTTCTTGAAAATAATGTAGTTTAGCTCTCACATAAATATTAACCTATAAAAAGAATTTATTTTTAATTTTTTTATTTATTGGATTTTCCCCCCGCCCATCTCCCCCACAACTCTGGGGCTCTGGGCGACTTACAAAAAATATTAAAACTATAAATATATCTAAAACTTATAAAACATCCAAAATTTAAGTGATATGTGACTAATTGATATTGCTACTCACCCTGACTTCATATTCATTATCTGAGTAATCCACAGACTGACAGATATAGCTGTATCCTCGAGCTCTTGATGACAAAAACAGCTGAAAGTAGAAATTCACAAGTTAATCTTCCAAAAATATGCCATATAAAAATAACCTTTCTAAACTAACTAGCATCCTTTAATAAGGCTTCAATTTAAACTTCTGCTCTCCTTGATGACCCTTTTCCTCTCAACGGGTCACTTGTTCAATGTGCCCCATAAGAAGCCATTAAGTTCAGTCCTAGGCTGCCTCCTTTGATCAGGGATACCCAACACCATGGAGGTACCATGGAGCCGCGTCACAAAGCTCTTGGTGTGAGAGAATATGAAACTTATGTTATTTATTTATTCATTCAATTTATTTCCTGTTTTTCTATTCCACTGAATACTTAAGGCAGCTCACAACTATTACCACAAAGCAAAATAAGAATATGTCAAATAAAAGCCAACAAATAGTACAAGTGGAAGCATTCAAAAGATTGGATAAAGACAGCTATCAGCTGATTTCCTTGAGGCAAAAGAGAGTAGGGACCAAACGTACCCCTTACTTTGTTGCAGATATTAATATCTGGAGAATTCGTAACAGACAACATGGTTCTTCAAGTAGTCAGTTCCTAAGCCATTTAAGGCTTTCAGGTTAACACCAACACCTCATAATATGCAACTGCAAACCAACAGTCATGTTACTTGAATTTAACTGACTTAATTACTCCTCTCTGTCTATCTCTGTATCCTTTCCATCCATCCATCCATCCATCCATCCATCCATCCATCCATCCATCCATCCATCCCAGGTTCTCTTGTCTCAAGAGAACCTGGAATTGATATGATGCCAGGAAGAAAAGATCCACGCCAACAACATGTACACCCTGCCACTCATCAGATACCCTGCCAGTAAAGTGAGCTGGCCAAAGGACACGGAGGCTGCTGATGTGAAGACCTGGAATCACCTCACAATGTATGGAGATTTCCACCCCAAGTGCAACACCCAGAGACTGTACACCATCTGGAAAGAGGGCAGGCGGGGTCTGGTGAATGTCAAAGCCACTCTCCTAGAGCTTCGAGGAGTACATCAGTAAGATGGCACCCAAAAATGAGTTGCTGACAGAATGCCTGAGGCAGCAACAGACATGGAAGGAAGTTCAAACATAGGAAGTGCCATGACAAGACAACACCCTGCGTGGGATGTACTATCAATAGATAGCTGAGGTGGCAGACATTGGGAAATCCTACCAGTAGCTGGGAAGGGCTGGACTAAAAGATAGCACTGAGGCACTGTTCATAGCAGCACAAGAACAAGCACTAAGCACCAGATCCATAGAAGCAGTGGTCTACCACCCTAGACAGGACCCAAGGTGCAGACTGTGCAGCAAGGCCTCAGAGACAGTCCAGCACATAGTGGCAGGGTGTAGGATGCAGGAACAGCATACACTGAATGGCACAACCAAGTAACTGGCATTGTATACAGGAACATCTGTACAGTGTATGGGCTAGACCATCTCAAGTCTAGATGGAAGATTCTACAGAAGGTTGTGTAGAACAAAAGGGCTAAGATCCTTTGGGACTTCCAGATCCAGACAGATAGGCAGGTACTGGCCAATCAAACAGACATCATGGTAGTAGGCAAGGACCAGAAGACAGTGGTGGTGATAGATGTAGTGGTGCTGAGTGACAGCAACATCAGGAAAAAGGAGCATGAGAAGCTGGAGAAGTACCAGGGCCTAAAGGAGGAACTAGAGAGGATATGGAAAGTGAAGGCCAAAGTGGTCCCAGTGGTGGTAGGAGCACCCGAGGCTGTGACTCCTAAGCTGGGAGAGTGGCTCCAACAGATCCCAGGAACAACATCAGTGCTCTCTGTCCAGAAGAGTGCAATGCTAGGAACAGCTAAGATACTGTGCAGAACCCTCTGGCTGCTACTACTGAATGCCAGGTCAGTCTGCAATAAGGCTTCCCTCATTCATGATTTAATCATTGATGAGAGGGCCAACCTGGCATGTACTACCAAAATCTGGCTGGGTCCAAAAGTGGGGGTAACCCTGAGATATGCCCGGTGGGGTTTCAGGTGTGGCATCAGCTGAGACTTCAGGGCAGAGGTGGGGATGTGGCAATTGTCATCTGGGAATCCCTTACAGCTTTCAGGAGCACTGTCCCACAGGTCCCCGGATTTGAGACTGTGCCTTAAGTTGGGCTCTAGGGATCAGTTGGGCCTGTTGCTGTTGTACCAGACTCCTTGCTGCATAGCAACCTCCCTGCCTGAGCTCCTTGACTCCATCTCGGGTTTGGCAGTGGAGTTCCCCAGACTTATGGTTCTGGGGGAATCTGCCTTCTCTCAGAGTGGGATCTGTGGCGGCTTTGGAGTTCATGGCCGCCATGATGGCCATGGGCCTATCCCAGGTCATCCAGAGCCCGATATAGTGGTTGCACTCCAGATTTGGTGTTCCTGTTGGAGCAGTGGGTATTTGAAATTGGGGAAGCTTTTGGTGACTCCCTTGTCACGGTCAGATCATGCCCTAATTTCCATGGGATTCTCTAGCACCACTACCCACTGCAGGGAGATTGGATCCACCAGATTGGTCTGCCCCCAGCGACTGATGGACCTGGATGGGTTTCAGAGGGAACTGGGGGTTCTTCCTGCTGCCTGGTCCATCTGAAGCCTTGGTTGCTGCTTGGAATAAGGGGGCAGCTGAGGCCTTGGATGGGATCGCACCCATGCAACCTCTCCCCTCCCATGGATTCTGTCACTCCCCGTGGTTTACAGAGGAGCTGAGGGAGGTGAAATGAGAGAAGAGACATCTAGAGAGTCGCTGGCACTCAACCAAGGATGAGCTCAACTGGATACAGGTTAGAGCCACTGTTAAGGCCTACCTTGTGGTGGTAAGGGCGGCGAAGCAACAGTACTTCTCCGCCCTTATTGCATCCACAGATTGCTGCCCTGCAGCTCTGTTTTGGGTGACACAAGCTCTCTTAGGTAAAGGGGGCCCAGAACACCTTTTGCAGGGGCATGCGGAGGAATTTGCTCAGCATCTGTTGGATAAAATACTCAAATTTGCTCGCAGTTGGATGCCGGTTTCGTTGCTGGTTCAGAGGAGATGCCTGGGGTGGAGTTTTGCCCAGTTATTTGGGAATGGTGTGAACCTGCTGGACTCATGAAAGTGGACAGGGTCCTTCAAACTGTGAGCTCAGCACCTGCTCCCTAGATCCATGCCCCTCTTGGCTCATGAAAGCGACCCATGGGGTGTCATGTGAGGGGGCTCTAGTGATGGTGAATTCTTCTTTGAGGGAGGGGGTTGTTCCTTTGCCTCCTAAAGAGGTTTTGGTGCTCCCCCTCCTCAAGAAGCCATTGCTGGATCCCACCATGCTGGACAACGTCGGTCCAGTATCTAGCCATCCTTTTTTCGGTAAGGTGGTTGAGAAGGTGGTTGCACAACAGCTTCAAAGGGCCTTGGATGAAGTGGACTATCTGGATCCTTTTCAGTCAGGATTCAGACCTGGGTATGGGACAGAGACAGCATTGGTCGTACTTTTAGATGATCTCTGGCATGGGTGAGATGGAGGTTGTGCATCCATCCTTGCCCTACTTGATCTCTTGGTGGCTTTCGATACTACTGATCATGGTATCCTTCTGGATTGGCTCGGGAGGCTGGGGGTGGGCAGCATGGTGCTCTGCTGGTTCACCTCCTTTCTCCACGATCAATTCCAGTCAGTAATGACTGGGGAGGAGAGGTCCCGCCCTCAGCCCCTACTATATAGGGTGCCACAGGGTTCAGTGCTCTCTGTTCTCCTATTTAATATCTACATGAGACTGCTGGATGAGCTCATCCGTCACCACAGGGTGAGGTATCATCAGAATGCTGATGATACCCACCTATATATCTCTGCCCCTGACAAATTAAGTGATGTTGTGAACGCCTTATCCCAGTGCCTGGAGGCTGTGAGGGTCTGGATGGGGAACAATAGGCTTCAATTGAACCTTGGCAAGACTGAGTAGCTTTGGATTTGGAGTCCTGCTGGTTCTGGGAGTATACATTTTTGGTGTTGGATGGGGTGGCACTGCCTTGGACAGACCCAGTGGGCAATGTGGGGGTCCTCCTAGACTCACAACTCCTGCTGAAAGACCAGGTGGCAATTGTGGCTAGGAGGGCCTTTAAACAGCTTCATGTTGTGCACCAATTACACTCCTTCCTGGATCGGGTGGCTCTGCTCACAGTTACTCATGCCCTATTCACCTCCAGTTTGGACTACTGTAATGTGCTCTACATGGGGCTGCCCTTGAAGAGTATCCAGAAGCTTCAACTAGTAGAGAATGCTGTGGCGCAGGCAGTTATGTGTGCTCCTAGAAAAGCGCATATTATTCCTCTGCTTCATGAGCTGCACTGGCTGCCAGTTTGCTTCGGGATCCAATTCAAGGTGTTAGATTTAACCTTTAAAGCCCTTCATATTGTGGGACTGGGTTATCTGAGGGACTGCCTCTCCCTGATTGTTTCAGACCGCCCCATTAGAGCTGGCAAGGAAGATATGCTACGCGTTCCATTGGCCAGGGATTTGCATTTGGTGGGTCCCAGGGGGTGGGCCTTCTCTGCTGTGGCTCCTTCCTTGTGGAACATTCTCCCTCCTGAAGTGAGGCTCACCCCTTCCCTGCTGTCATTTACAAAGTCCCTCAAGACCTGGTTATGTCATCAGGCCTGAGGGACTTTGGGAACTGGAGACATTCTTAGATGGCTCCACCGTAACTGATATTCTGCTCTCTCTGTGGGGTTTGTACATTTAAATTTTTTTTTAAATTTTGATAATGTTTTTATTTTAATAATTACTTTTTATCTTTTTATGATGATTCTTTTTATCCATTTGTTATTTTATTTAATTGTTGTATGCCACCCAGTCGCTTTGTGTGAGATAGGCGGTTATATAAATGTGACATATAATAAACAAACAAACAGACAGACAAACCCCTCAAACTCCCAGGCCTCTGGTAGAGGACCCAAGACTGAGGAAGACACATACCATCCAT